TCGCACTCGCATAAATAGAGACGAAATAATTCACAAAGTTTTCCACTTTGACTTTCACTTGATACAAAAGTTTATGTAGCTATGAGCATTCGCGAGTAACGTTATGGGTTTATTTAGAAAAGGAACGAACAGGGTAAATATATGTTTTTTTATGTATGAATAAAAATATTAAATTGATTATCATAGGATATAAAATGCTGAGGTTATTATGTAATATCTATATGATTACAATACAAAAATAGGAACTTTGAAATGTTATACAAAGATTTTTTTTTCCCTTATTGGGAAACTTCGAGCTGTAGTAGGATCATATTCATCTCTCTGGGCCTCAGGTCCGTCCTTTCCTACTGTAGGTGGTTCCAACTCCGTGCTTGTCTGCAAGCGTTTTGTTCCCGGTACTTGTTTTCACAGCGTTGTAAGACCTCCAGGATTTCTTGACCCGGCCCACTCCCCGTCGGGGTCGAGGCAAATTGGCTTCTGTTCTGATCAGTGTAGATAGTCGAGGACCTACCTACACCAGTAGTGGTCCTCGAAGTAAACTCTGTTTGATCCGAGATGCCGCTTAGGTCGCTGTGCGGTCTGACCGTCGTCGGTGTTCTCTCATTCTGGATTTGGATCGCTCGTTTTTTGGCAAACTGTAGACCTCATTCACTTCTGTTTCTAATTCACTGTGGACCTCTGCCTTCTGAGGAAGGACAATTATTTCCGGGTATCGGGTTGTGGCTACCCCTCGAAACTTTCTAGTAGTGTGACAAAGAGTGCATTCGTTCACCTTATGCTTCAGTTACTGCTGTTGGATACAAGAAATGAATATTCCATCGAAATCGAGGTCATCTAGATTCCAGAGTTCTGTTGAATCCAGCATTGGTTTGTCTGGCAAAACATAAAGAAGGGTAAATGCTAATATGCAAGAGTTCGTACCAAACTTCAAATATTTATGTTGTATACGACCGTCACAACTTTGCCACGTTAAATTCAACAGGTATACCCGTGTTCCCAATATTTCTAGGAGAGAGAGATTTCTAAGGCCGGTTGGAGTTATTACTGTTTGTTGACCCGCTCTATCTTTTCCGAGGGGTTCCACTTTTTTCCGGGCTGGATAGTTATCGTAACTGACAGGATTAAATTTTCAAGCATTCTCACTAACATTGTTGAATACAGGATTAGGCAGTCGCCAGACCAGGCGTTTCTCTTGACATCGCCCGTTATGCTTCTCAGGATTGATTCCCACACCATCAGTCTGCTTTTTCCTCTAATTTCGATTTTTCCCTTGAAATGATTTGTCTTGCAGAGTTCCGGTTTCTGACAACAACATAAAGAAGGTAAGAATTTTGTATGTTCTCAGTTTTTATAATTTAGATGAGAAAGTCTTGTTGATAGCAATGTAGTCATGCAAGCCAAGTTAAAGATTGAATCGATTCTAGTTTGACTATTAGCATTCAGATGGCATCATGATTTAGGTGGAGTGAGTGAGAGTGACTTTCCATGAAATGAGGACTACATGTTGGTGTCTCCCTTCCCATGCACAGAAATCGTCCATAGCAGGACATGAACAGGTTTTGAAGGGACATCTCTCGTGAGCCTCTCCTTTTAGGATATGAGATTCTTTGCACCCATTGTCCCTGCACTTGCAGGGTAGAGCCACGGTTTCATCCAATTTCTCCAGGGAAAGGTTTCGATTATTAAACATTTTCCCACCGCAAGTCGGACACCATTGTACTAACTCCTTGCATTGAGAACAGGTCATATGACCTGCCGGACATGAAACATTGGGGGCAACATGTGTTCATAACACACTGGACACTCCAACAGGACGAGCAGTGCGGGATCCGAAAGGAAACATTGTGTGGCTCCCTGTCTGTTGTTTTTCTTCGTGGACGTCGTTGCAGTGTTTTAACATGGTTGTTTCTAAATAAAGGAAAAGAAAGATAGTTGAGTCTTAGTCCTTTCTCCGATGAAACTCTACATGAGATTATCTCTAAGGAGATACGGATTCTTCCTCGCGATTTTATAAACGTCTCATTTGAGAGGGAATAATTTTGACCCTGGCAGAAAGTATGACAGACTCTTCCTGCTTGGGTCTCATCAAGATTGGTTGATTGAGTTCTAACACATGTAAAGTTTTTGAAGGTGGACTCGTCTCCACAGCTACTGGCACCAGTACGATTATCTCTATGGGAGCAGATTCCGCTCATTTTTCCTGACAGGAGAAAGGAATATGTGATTGCTGGTGTTCGTTTTCTTAGACAACTTGATCGTTTGCGACAACTCCAAACAATCACGAGAGCAGCTTTGATGACGACAATAGGGATTATATGTGTTGGACTCCATGTGGAGAATGGATAAGTCTATACATTTGATGGTCTCGGTCTTAATTGATCTTATTTTCTGACTTAAATCTTGAAGCATTCGTCTGGAAAATTCCAATGACTAATCGCGTTCATTAGTGTGGAGAATGCTTGAGGTAATGTTTTTCTGGATGTATTCTCGTAGAATCTTAATCACTGTAAAATTGAGAACATCCGTTATCACTGGTATTACGTAATGGTTTCGAAGGGATTGTTAATCTTGAATGTGGTCCATGCTTGAAAGTGAGACATAAGATGTATGATGGGTGTATGGGCCACAAGTCATTGATGAAGCAGTATGTCAGTATTGCAACTGTACTGTAAGTGTTAAACAGATACTTTGCAATTGCGTTGCTTTTGACCAAAGTCACAGACAGCATTTCGGAATTGCAAGTTTGAGAGAGATTTTGGACCAGAGGCCAAATCTGGACAATATACTGGACTTTCTGAAAGTCATTAATATGTATAGAGAGATTTGAGTATTTATTTATTTATTGTACAGTTTTATTTACTTTGTGTTTCCTATTTATATTGTTGTATATATTTTTTGCTGTCTTTGTCTATTTATTTATATGTTTATTATGTGTCAGTTTAAAATTTTACACCATTTTCTTTGGTGCAGCTTAGCCTATATGGCTCTTGCGCCAAAAAAAAACCAAAGCTAACTAACTAACTGCTCTAATTTGAGTTTGCCATTTAAAAATCTTTTACGTACATAAAAGTGTCAAACCTCTATGTTTGGACCGTTGATGAAATTCTGGATTCTTTGCTAGCTTTATGGCATTTGCATTGTCAATATTGATCAATCTTCATATTGTTTTATATTCATCCTAAAAAAATTGTTGAGAGATCCTGTCGTCATATTAAATTGGTGTTGTTGTAGAGCTTACATAAAATCAGCGATCTCTTTGTTTTCATTACCAACAATAAGACTATTATCTTCACAAATTGTGATATAGAGTTGCCTTTTATTCTGGGTTTGATAAAAATGACAAGGATCTGCAGTGCTGTTTTGAAAACTTGCTTTCTTTATACATCCGATGAATCATTTATTCCAGCAATGTGGTGCCTACTTCAGCCCATACAAACTTTTTTCAGGAGACATACCCGACCGGTACCATCATTGAAACCATCTGGTTGTTCCAAATACACTTTCTCTTCAAGTATGCCATTGAGGAAAATTGTCTTTACTTCAAACTGTTCCAATTGCATATTGTTTGCAGCTGCTACCGCTAACATGGTCTGAATAGTGTCATAACGTGCGACAGGACTAAATGACCAGGAATTGACTGACCTCGTAGTCAATTCCTGGTTTTTGAGCATAACAGTTTGCAACCAACCGAGCTTTGAAGCGAGTGCTTCATTACTTTTAGTTTTCTTGGGCAGAATCTAATGATTTTTATCAACTTGTGCCTCCTTCGGACGTTCGACTAACCTCCATGTTTCGTTTTATTTTAGAGATTCTATTTCTTCATGAATGGCATGCATCCATAGCTTTCTCTCGTATGATTGCATTACTTCAGAAAATGAATTTGGGTCTTTGTATTCCCCAATAACAACTCCTGCCATCATTAAAAATTCATTGTTTTTCATCCAGGATGATTTACCTCGCTATCTCTTGCTTCTCCAGTTATCTTTGCTAGAAGTTTCATTATTTTGCTTCGATAAAAATTCCTTTGATTCTCCTTTCTTATTACATTCAGTCTGATCTTTGCTTCCTCCAGAAAAAGATGCCATGACGAATTTTTCAGTTCTGATTTGATTTTCTCCATTTTGGCATCTGACCACCTCTGGTTCTTTCAGCTCAGACAATGGATTGCACCTACCCGATATCAGCTGCTGCTCTCGAGGAAAGTCAAATTCCACAGTACCACTGTGCTGACTGCAGATGACTTCTGGTTTGAATTTCACATTGTGACTCATAATCACTTTCCTTTGAGAAGGAATCCAGACTTGAAATGCATCCTTATCATTAGCATACTCAACCAACTGTCCGAAAATAGCTTTATTGTCAAACTTTGATTGAAAATTCTTTTGTTTACATGTACGTAGCATCCAGTGCTGAAGATTTTCAGATGATCCAGTCTTCCTACTGGTCTACCATACTATAATTCATAACTAGCTTTGTTCTGAACTGAAGATTTTCCAGTACAAATCAAATGGTATATTGCAGTTTTGTATGCTTCTGCCCACAATTTTTTCGCTTGGATTCAACATAGAACATGCTGTTTCCACAATGGTACGATTTTAGCGTTCATCTGCACCATTTTGCTCAGGTGTATAAAGTGGAGGAATCCATTGTTCTATCTCTCTGTTTGAGAGCAATTCAGCAACTCTTTTGTGGACAGATTCTGTACCTCCATCACATCTGAATTGTTTGACAACATGTCCATTTGTTCTGGTTTCATTTAAAAATTGCTAAAGCACATCACGTATTTTGCTTTTCTAATTAATGTGCTTTCTAGCCACACTGGGTTGTATATACTCTAACTATCTACAATTAACCAGTAACCTACATCTTTGCTTTTCTGTTTCAAAAAGAAAATTTGGCAAAACGCGCTGAAGTCATCCTTGAAACATACGTAATAACGTGCTTTTCCTAAAGATTTGGTGGACATTGATCTATTTCCATCTGCATGGATCAATTCGCCAGTAACTGTTGGACAATTTATTCTTTGCTTAAATGGTAGTTTATGCATTTTTCCCAAAGTACAGTACATCCATCACAGAATTTTTCTTTGCAACCTTCCACGTTGATGTTCATTTGCTTCAAAACATTCTTTACATGCCGTTTATTTTGATGACCAAACCTTTCATGGTACACTTGTAGATTATCAGACGCTGTCAAAATTCACCCTAATGTTTTTGTGTGGTTTTACAACGTGTATATCGAGCATGTACAGACCATTTTTAATGTAACCAGTGATGACAGTGTTCTCACCAATTTTGTCTTGAATTTTAACACTTCTGTCATCGGTTACTATCCTGTAACCGTTCGATGCTGCTGCTTTGACAGAAAACAAGTGACCAGTTGCATCAGGGACATAAAAAACATTTTTCATTTCAACATTATACCAGGTATTGTTTCGTCGAACTTGAATCCTTATTGTTCTTTGCCCATGTGCATACATACTCACACCTTGCTTTCCAAGTGATTTTACTTCAGGAACAACAAATTCTCTATATGATTCGAAGTATTGTTTGTTTGGAGTAATATGCTTGGTTGCACCACTATCACAATACCATTTATTTGCATCAATGTAGTTTCCAATCGACATGCCCATGACATGTGAAATGAATACGACATTGCCACTTCTTTGCTTATTAGTCCCGACACCTGTCTTTTTCTGCGGACACTCTGCTGCCCAATGACCCAATTGTTTGCACTTGTTACATGGGAATTTTTGTTTTGCCCGTTCCACTGACATTTTTGTTTTTCCAGAATTCTGCTTCTTTTTATACTCGCCAGAAGTGACAAACACATTTGTTTCGGTTGTGCCTTGATCACGTAGTTCAATTGTGCACAGTTTTTCAATGAGTAAATTCAAACTTTGATTTTTTGAAGAAATCGTGTCCGAAAGGTCATTGAAATTATCATAGTCTTTTCGCAATGTAGATAAAATTTGGCCGTTTAATATTCTTTCAGACGAAGTATTTTCTTTGCGTTTTGTTAATTTGTCATATAAATCAACAAATAACTTTTGCAATTTGGCAACATGAGTGCTAATGTCCTCCTTCTCATCCCGTTTAACCTGAAAGAAGGCTTCAATCAACATGTTCAAACATTGCGTACTGCTGCACTCAAATTGCGCACGTAATTTATCTTAAGTTTCTTTCACATCGTTGCACGTCAACATGAGCTCAGCAACTGGTTTACTTAGCGTACTTGCTATTAAACTTGTCGCCCTCGCGTTGTCTTTCTGCCATCAGCATATGTTGTCTTTTGTTCATTCGTCGGCTCTGTTGGTAACTCAACACGTGCATGTTTTCCGTTAATAATATTTTCTAATCCGTATGAACGCAACACCATAGAAACGTGCCATTTCCATTTTGCCCAGTTTTCAGGTTCTTCGAGCTTTTCTACATTTACCTTGTAATTCCCGCTGACAGCCATTTTCCTTCTGTTCATTCTCGTTCATACATATTCAACCAAGTATAACTTCAGAGGCGCATTACAAAGGTCTCTTTCATTCAAGATTGTAATTTTCACATGGATGGACATGGACTGGGCCCATAACCTATTACTTTTTATTGAAATAATCAACTTTACACGTGGACTTCACGAGAAAACGACATGACTGACTTGCATTCGGTTTGTTTACATTAAGTAAACGTTAACACTTCTGCTACGTGACAGAGGGAGCCTTGTCATACTTTTTCTTTTTTATTACAATAGGAAGACTAGATGTGCTGCTGCTTGTTGAATACAACTCTACTGGAGGAGAGGAAGGAGTACTTGATATAGTACTGTAATTTTTTTCCGGTAGTGAACTCATTAAAGTTTCTGGAGAAGGAGTAACATCAGACCTACAACCTATTGCTGCATTAAAAAGATCGAAGTAGGGCCAGGTTATGGCCATTTCTCCAGTTTTATTTTTTACTTTATCTTTGTTTCTTCTATATGTAGATAAAAGGTTTCGCCACTTTTTATCACACTCCGTACAAGATATTTTATATCCCTCTTTTGCTAAGTGATCGGAAACCTTCACCCACAGTTTGTTTTTGGCTATTGGTTTCCGAAATTCCTCTTTTATTTTCTACCTGATACTTATTAAAAGTCTGGTAATAGCATCAGTCCAATTGGCATTTGACGTAAGTAAATCTGAAAAACAATATATCAAATTTAAGTCTTTATCTCTAGGAACATTTTGAAACTTTTTTAATCATGTCCAATCATTGTGTAACTATTATCCAAGTACAGTCTGTCCAATTTAACTATGAAATTTTGCAATATTTTCTTACATGTATACAATATGATATTTTCTTGTAATGATAAATTATTTATATATATTATAAAAATAAGTAGAATTAAAAGTATATTTTAATTAAACATACCATTTGAAAGAGGTCTCTTTTCACCCCTAATGCCTGAAGTGCTTGGAACTGTTTTAAAATAAATATTATATAAATTACACTGTAAATTAACAACGAAAGTAATTCTGACAATCACATTTCTTTTAATACCTAAATTTGTATTATTTTCTAAATTGTTATTAGATTCCACCAGTGTATGTTTTCAGGTTTTGTCTTTATTTTATTTGCAAGCTCTAATTTATAGTGCTGAGAAAATATAGGATCTAAAATTAAAGATTAAAACGTTTTAAAGTATATATAAGTATATATTTTAATTATTTTAATACTTTATATATTTTAATTCCATATAACAAAGTAATTAAATATTAATGATTGAAATATGATATAGGTTTAAATTGAATGTACACAATTTTAAAACAGTTTCTTTCATTGTGGAACATATCTTGCTCTGGATACTCTTCCCTAAAGTATATGTTTAAAATAAGATTTTTTTAAACATAAAACCAACGTACTGTATTTATAATTCAGACATTTCCAATAAATAACGGAATATCTGAAGTATTTTACCATATATGTAGAACATTATTTATTTCATACAATTCAAAAATCTATTGAAAGTTATTAAATAGATGTGAGAGTAGCCAGGGGTATAACTCCGTTTAGGATTGTTCGTACCACTTAATCGGCACAGATTATCCGAAATCTGTCTCTCAAGTTTCAGATCCCTAGATCTGATTTTAAAACTTACATAGGAAGGCGGTAATAATTTTTTTATGAGGATTAAAGACTATGAAGTCTCTATCCCACTTGTCAGGTTCCCGACACCAGTTTGTCAATTATTCGATCCACGAACAAACACGCGTGTGATTGGTTTATAGATCTGATTCAGAGACTTTAAGGGAGACATTCTTTAACAAATAAAACAAGAATAAATTTAATTAAACATAAACCAATAAAAATAGTACAAATATACAGTAGTAAGAGACAATGACTACAAATTACAACCTATAAGTCGAGAGATATATGGACTTATATTTAACCAATATGCGATTGAGAGAAAGAGAGCTTACAATATCGCTATTAAACATACAACCTGGGCCCTTAGTCTCGCTTAGTCTTGAGTTTTTCGTGTTGTACTCGAACTGACGTCATCGAACTCACTCGTGTTACTATGACTCACATAATCGGTAGTCTCGAGTTAGACCCTTCGAGTGAACTCGAAAGGCGAGCGGAAGTAGGTCATATTCACTTGTTTACGTTTGTCGATAAGCATGATGGGATTATTTACAATGCATCTGGGATTGCGACTATAATGATTTGACCAATCAACTTAACTGTAACAAGTTGTAAACAAATCAACACGAATTAGTTTACACGTGCTACAGTTAAAAGTTGTCTTGTGGCAATATAGTACGCAGAAACAAAATGAAAACCTCGAATGTTTTATTTTTAAAAATAAGCGAAGAACAAAAAGAAATATTAGTAACATATATAGAAAATAATAAGAAAATGAACAGCGGAAAATTAGACAACGAATTTACAAGAAAAAGACAATTCGCTTTGTGGAGAGAATTACTTGAAAAATTAATTGCGTGTGTTGAACCTAAAAAATCCGTTATGTAATGGAAAATGTATTTAAACTTAATCCTTTCTTCATATAGTTTTCTTCCTTGATCTATTTCTTAAATTGTTTTGTCTATTAAGATTATTTATTAATCAGAACTTAACACTTCTGATTAATAAATAATCTTAATGTAGTGTCTATGCTTTTAATAATCTATACATATAATTTACTATCATTTTAATACTCTTTTTCGATGAATTAGATACTTCTTTTTATTTTTAGAAAAATTTGCTGTATACATTTATCAATTATGAATTAAAGTTTTTTTTATTAGTATTGACTTGACACAAAAAGAAATGTTATCTACTCGTGGTCGAAAAATTCGTTGCCTTCTCACACAACATCTTTCGGCTTTTTCTAACTCTTCGATAGCGATAAGAATTGCGTATCCATCAGCCATTTTTACTTTCGTGTAGCGATCTCACATGCTCGACTCAACGTGAGTAGCAACTCGCATGGTGAGATGGGAAAGCACGTGAGATAGAACTCGAGACTACCAATTTGACGTCAGTGTGTGAGATGGTACCACGTGACACCTTCAACACGTTGGGAGTTGTAACACGAAAAACTCGAGACTAAGGCCCCAGGTTTAGTTGTCTTTCGTCGTCTTCTCTGTAGGCGAAGGTGCTTCGTTTATAAATTTCTCAAACTTCATTCCATGGGAAATCGAGATGTGCACAAAATCAAAGTATATCTTCTAAGTGCTAACTCTGGATTTCTTCTATGTGACTCGACTAAGGGCGTTGGTCATCAGGAGAAATATGTGTGGAGTCCTGACTCTTCCAGGTCTGTCGATAAACTCCTTGATTTCTGATAAATTTCCTCTATATCTGACAATCGGTGACCAATCATCATACAAAGATTCTTCCGTGGGAACGGACGGAAAGGGAAATATGTGAGGGGTGAACATTTCCCATCAAAGCGAGAGTTTTCGCAGATAAGGGAAAAACAGAGGATGTTCTAACTTCCCTAGAAGGAAGTAGCATCTGTTATCTATTTTTCCCACTCTAAAACGTTATTTTTCTCACCCAAACGAAAGAATATTTCATAACAAAATATTAACATTATTAATAAAATTACTATTTTAGACCCGGGGGCCTTTCAGATCTCACATAATATGATATAGGTTTAAATTGAATGTACAAATTTTAAAACAATTTCTTTCAGTGTGAAACATGTCTCTGATACTCTCCCCTAAAGTATATGCTTAAAATAATATTTTTTTAAACATAAAACCAACTAAATCTGCTGAAAGTTATTAAATAAACTAACAAATATTTATAAAATAATTTTAAAATTATATAATTAATATTTACCGTTTTTTATCTTAAATGCTGTCTTCTCGTCTACAAAAACTTTAAATTTATTGTTTTCAATAATAAATTCGAATTCTTCCTCCAATTTGCCCCCTTTCAATTGCACCTCCTTCAAGTGCACCTCCTTCAAGTGCTGTAAAAGTATCCTCGAACTCAAGCGTTTAACAGCAGTTAGCTGCAGTGATAGCAAAGCGCTTAGTGAAGCGACGAGTTTAAAAACGACTGGACATTCTTCTTATAATACTTTGCTTTACTACGTTTTCTCACAATTTTCTCTGCTATCTTCTAAATTACCCGAGGAGCGAATAGCGATTTAGCTGTGGGGAGTATATTTTCGCTTTTTCTAAACAAGTCTCTGAGCAAGAATACTATTAATTTCAGGTGTTTGTGTATTTTTAGTTTTAATAATTCTTATTACAAGTATTTAGTACTTGATTACTTCTCGTTACTTACTTTAAAAACCATTAAATAAAATAATTGTAAAACACACCGTTAGAAGCTGA